AAAAAAAAAAAAAAAAAAAAAAAAAAAAAAAAGCTCTTGAATTTATACATCACAAAGTTGTTAAGTGCCATCAAGTTGGTTCCGAATCACAGCAACCCTGTATAGGGTTTCCGAGAAGCGACTGGTGGGTTTGAACCATTGACCTTGCTGTTCTAACTGACCTTGCAGTCCAGCACTTATCCTATAGCACCACACCAGGGCTCCATAGTTTCAAAAATATTTTGATCTATCATCCTGATCTGCATATGGGTCTAGCTGCTGTATCCCAAGGCAGTGCTTATTTTATACATAAAATATTGTTGTTATTGTTAAGTGCCTTTAAATCAATTCTTCCTCATAGTGACCCTCTATGGGGTTTCTGAGAAGTAGCTGGTGAGCTTGAACCACCAACCTTGCAGTTCAAACCGATCTCGTAGTCCTGTGCATTAACCCATAGAGCCATACCAGGACTCCACATGCACCAATAAGCATTGTCTTGGGATACAGTAAATATACACATATGCAGATGAGGACACCATGACTCAATCTTTTTTGAAACTACCAGTGTTTGTCAGCTGCAAAAGAAAACCAATCACAATGCCTTCGCTGTTTGAGTTTACAGTCGTGTAGTGCTTAACTTCCATGATACAGTCTGTGAAATGAGATGTTCTATGATTTGCATGTTGGACAAACACCAAATTATATAGTATCTGTCCCCAGATTATGAACAAGTTCCATTTCTAAATCTTGGAGTCAAATTTGTATGTAAATCAGAACAGTTATGTATGGCTAGTATGTAACTGCAGTTAGTCAAATGTCCTTTCTATGCATAAAATATATTAAGGAAACACTTTCACCTAACACTAAAACACCTTTAACAGAATAATGCAGGAGTAATAGTAACATTTTGATGTGTGTTGCAACATCACACCACTTTGTTATTATGAGGCTTAAACTTTGAATTTATAGACTTTACAGAGGTTGGGACCTCAATGTTGGTTATGTAGCACATGACTGTACTTTCTGTTCCACGTGGATCTCTCCATCATGCAATTATAGAATTAGGAACTGGAAAGGAATAATAACAATAGTAAAAATATGACCTTTAGTGTATCCCATCTGCATTGAGAGACCATCTGGAGAACAGATTTGACACATTAGATGCTAATGACCAAAGACCAGCAAAGTTATGGGACGACATCAAGAGTGTCACACATGAAGAAAGCAGAAGGTAATTTAAAAGAAAGGAAAGAAAGAAAAGAGCACAATGGACTTCAAAAGACACCCATAAAACTTGCTCTTTAATGTAGAGAAACTAAAATGACTACAAGAAATGAAGTAAAAAAGCT